CAATTCGAACTAGATTTTCTTTTGTTTTTTCAATTTCGCTATCAATTAATGTACTAAGATGTTTTATTTGTTTAATTGTTAATTGTCCAATTAATTCAGCATTAAGTGTTTCATGATTAATTTTAATATTTTCAGGTAAGACTTCCTTATCACCTTCATTTTCTTTTGCTTGTTTTTTTGTCCCAATGGTACGTCCACAAAGATTTTTTACCTTATTCCATTGATCAGCTTGATAACGAACAGTACGCCATTGTGTATCAAGTTCAATAACTTTTTCGACACGTTCAAGTCCTTTATATCGTTTTTTTTGAGAATTACGAACTAAGTCTGGAGTTCGACGAAGTAATTCAATATCGAGTACCATTCTTGAGAATATTGATGATCTATTATGAAATGAAAAAAGAAAAACAATTATATACTTAAAAATGATTCTATTGCATCAGATTGCATCAGTCATACAGCAATACATAATAGACAAGTGGGAAGTTGTTATTTTCAATAGTAACACGATCGAAGAGTGTGACCTTTACTCAATGATGAAAAACGTTTAATTTTTTTCTCTATGAAAACCGAATATTTTTCTTGTGTTATCTTAGAACTAAATTGTTTACATCTTTCGGAGCAAAATCTTGATACTTTCACTATTGGTTGATTGTAGTCAGCTATAATAATTTTAGATATATCTGATCATAATTTGACAAGCTACACCAAAAAAGTATTTGATTCGAAAAAATTATGTCGAAGGATAAATCGACGCATGAATCTAGTCTAATTTTTTCCACGTCTTCAACAACACAGCTTCCTTATCCTTGAATGGTTAATGACAACGTTTTCCTTCGTTAACTCTCTGGTTAATCTAGATGTCACTGTTAAACAGTCCGAAGTATTTTGTTTTGAAAAGTTGACAATAATTTGGAATAATTATTTACTTCAACAGTATTATGCACGCATAGGCGGCGAAATCTAGAGACTGGGTGAGACGTGAGCCTCACCCAAATTATGAATTCGATATTTTTTGCACGATGATTTAGACTTATCTTATTAGTTGAATATTATTTCAGTCCGAAGATTCGAACTTCTAATAGGTTTATTTATATGTCGTGATAAAGAAAACTAAGAAATTCAGATAATAATAAATTAACTAACTATGTTCTTATGATTAATAGCGACACCTTTTACTTTACCTCATTTACATAAAGTGGTATGTGTACTAGATCAATTGTAGAATTATGCGATCAAAAGACATCAAAACTAGCTATATTTGAGTGTGCTGACTTTCTCTTTAACGTATTCAGTGAAATACATCCACAGTAATTGTTTAAAATGTCAGCAAATATATCAACTAAAATGCAGTGTGAAACGAGTTTATTTGCATATTTATCTGAGTGTCTAGCTCTCATATTATTTGAATGCCTTGGCATTATTATTTAACTAATGCGTTAGATGATTATCATATTAGTCTTGCTAAGCATAATGTGATTTCATTTTTATATGGATATTAAACAGATAAATAGTACTTTCTTTTGATCATAGTCATAAAATCAATAATTTAGATTACAAACAGTAATACCATGAAAACAATGTGCTGGATCAATTTTAAAATATTTTACTATACTAAAAACGTAAAAGGTGCAACAACATCTGTATTTATAGAAGAAATTGCTTTAACTGATCTTTCAACACATTCTCGAGACATAGCTCATGAAACATCTTCTGTAACACAGGTCCCAAAGAGACTGAAAAAAGGGAACTAACTTAAAGTTGAATTAAGCGATGTGATTGGTCTATTCTGACTTAAAGCATCTTTTCTAGACGATTTATTCGTTAGTTCAGTTTTAATTTGTCTTATTTTTTTCAGTCTGTTTGGGGCCACAAACTACTCCTCTGGTTAATCCATTAAATAGTATCCATATTTATATCGTCAAACGAAAAAAGACAAGCCTTTTTGATTTAAAGTTCTAATATGAAATATATAGTTCTTCTATTTTTTGACATTTTCGTCCTTCTATAAAGACTTAGAAACTTTGCCGGTAAAGAACAGAATAAGTTAGCATAATAGTTTTCTGACAGCAAAACAATTAAATAGTCTGAAATGACTTATCATCTGAAATTCACTTAAATTACCTCATGCTGATATGTGAAATACTATTTTAGGATAACAAATAAACTTCCATTGAGCCTCACCCCATTTCGAAACGTTCCGCCGCCCCTGCATGCAGGAACACCACTTTCGCAGTCATATGTATTTTTTTGAAACTTTTGTTTTATATGACAAAATACTTAATGTTATTTTAATGTTATTGATTGAAAACAACAAGAGATAATCATCTTAAATTCTGACAGTTTCGCAAAATATTTATTCGCTTGTTGTTGTAGGTGCTAAATGTAATTATTGTAGATATATCCATCAAATGTTTTTCCATCAGGATAACCGATCTTTGACATTTTGATAATTCACTTTGTTTTTGATATACTCAACTATTTCATCATGTGAATCACCATCTACAGATGAATTTTCATTCGAAACAAATTCTTTTAATACATGATCCACTTTTATTTCATTATGTTTCGTTCTTTTATTTCTTTTCTTTCATCGTTATCAATTTTTTCATGCCACTTCTGATGATTCTTTATCAGATTAGATTCGGTTGTCATGCACTCGATTTGGTTTCAGGACACTACTGTTAATAAATAGAAGCGATGACTGATTTTAATGACACTATTACGTATGTTTTGTATTGTTCTTGTTTGAACATTTATTTATACATAATAACTATCGTTTACTAATAATGAATTAATTAATTGTTCTTATTCACGTAGTTATAAAAGAAACGAACATTCATTTACAAACTGAATATTCACTAACAATGATGTTGAGCATAATCACTATCGTGTGAGATGGTTAGAAAAAGATGTATAACTTATTCAGAGATGCTTAGAGAATTAATATTAACGGTGATCCTTTTTCAAAGAAACCTATACATCATAATAAGAATGCCAGGAATTCCTGAGATGTCGAAGCGAAAAGAAGATGATAACATTGAATGACTTTCATCAAAGACAAATATCGAGAACAGCACTTTGAGATTTGATGATTAGAGTTTTTGATAGACATTAAATATGTTACTCTTTTGTATACATTCATTGTCAACTATGTGAAATATGCATTAACTTGAAAAGCTTATGCCACACTTTTTTGCACTCCTAGTTTTTTAAAACTTTTCATAAATCTAGTTTCAGGGTCTGTTAGTAATATTATAAAATTATATAGTCTATCGACGTTTAGCAACCGTTCAAGTAGAGTGATCAAATAATAAAAAAAATTGTTTCAGAAGATATCATTAAACAAACCATTCTTCAATCTAAATTTAAGACCGAATGACTATAGCAAAAAAGAACACTATCATTTTCTTATCCATATTACGAATCATAGTCTATACAAGCAATTTCATTGGTTAGTGGCACGATTTCACAAAACTAAAAATGCATGCATCACCAGACTCGGAAATTTGTTTTAGCTATAGTTTTTATATAACGTATCTACGTTAAGATACTCTAGATAACCTGAAGTACGCAGTTTTGTAAGCCTTGGTTCAGCTGAACAATGATTGAAATACTAGTGTTAACGGTGTCACACAAAAGAAAACAAAGGTTTTCACTGTGTATCTTGTGCGGATGACTCTTCAGGCTATAGGATCTCTGCACAAAGCTTTTTCTGAACATGCTAAGGTTTTGTAACTGAATGAAAAGTTCGAACATTAATTCTAAATGATATAAATTCTTGGTTCGTATCTCGAAATAATAGCAAAGTGACAAAGTCTCGCTCTGAGACAAGAGTAGACTTCCAAAAAACTGATTTTTGGAATGACAATTTTTGTACTCCGATCATGCTAAAAACTTTACTGTAGATGTAGTCTGTGAAGCGGAGCCTATTCTGAAATTCTTAGGTTTTTCATCACAATGCTTGAGAATTATCTAAACTTGTTTAATCTGTATGCCGAAACTATTCAACAAAGAAAAAAAAACGAAACATTTAGAAGATTATTCTAACTTGAGTTTTATTTCAAACTACTTTTTAAGTATGAGAAGGTGTGAGTAGAATAGAAGCCTCCCTCTTACACTCACACCCCATACACCCACGTTGCCAGATACTTGTCTTAGAGTACAGGATACAGTTGATAATCCAAGTTGGTTAAATCAGTGCATGTTGATAGCTATTAAATTAATTGTACTTATTCTCACAATTATAAAAGAAGTTGATATCGATTTACATACTAAATATTCATTTGTGATCACTTTGAGTACGACGATTATCTATTGAAATGATTAGAAACAGAAGCACACTTACTCATAGATGCTGAGACAGCTAATTAACGATGATTCTTTGTCAAAGGACCCTATACATCATGTTATGAATGTCAAAAATTACTGAGCAGTCGACAACAAAGTATGAAGATGCTCATATCAATATACAAGAAGAAGAATTTCCATTAAACAAAAATATTAACAAAGGTACGTCTACACTAACGTAAGTTATAACAGTGCTGGACAGACATAACAGATGTGACTTTTCTATATTGATCCATTTGTGCTCTATGTAAAATATATAAATTTGAAAAGCCTATGTTACAATTTATTGTCAAAATATTTTCTTTCAACTGTTACATAAATCCAGTGCCATGGACTGTGAGTAATATTAAATGATTATGTGGTCTATAGTATCCTCCCCAGTAAACATCCTAGTATGGTGGTAAAATAATAAAAATTCGTTGTAGACAAAGTGATTACATAAAATATTTCTCAATCTAAATTTTAAAGTCAAAGAACTATAGTAAAAGATTTATTTCAAGTATTTTCTGAATAAAATACAACAATATACTGAGCAAAATACACAAATATGATCTTTATTTGATCATTGTGAAAGAAAAAAAGAATATAAACTTCACTATTTTATTTCAAATCAATGAATATGTAATTTATATTCGTGTATATATATATAACTAAGGAGATTTTCTAATAACAGTTCGTACCAGTCCATTACTAAATACAAATTCTTTAACTTTATTAGCAATATAAAAAAATGGTAATAAACTAGTAAAATATTGAATCCATGACCAACGAAATTCTGTCCAAAAATTTGGTACATAACGAAATAATTGTGGACCCATATTAACAACAACATTAATAGTTAGTTGTGCATAATTATTAGTTGAAGGTAATGATGACCATTGAACATATTGTTGATGAAATGTTGTAGAATAATTACGAGAACTATAACTATATAGTATATCATCAAATGATGGTACAAGTGAATAAGTTCCATAATCTATCAGTACACCTTGAATAGATGAGTCATTTTGATAAGTTAATATTGGTTCACGTTGATGAAAAAGAAGTTGTCCATGTACAGTTACTATAGTGTTTTCTGATAGCGAAGAAGGAGCTTTAAGTGATATTAATCCAAGTGTTTCCATATTAATCAATGGAAATCGATTAAGTGAATATTGAAAGACAAGCCAAAGATTGAGAATTTGATTTGAAATAACCTGTGGTAAAATTATATTTAATGTTATATTGAGTTGATCATCAATACCATCACTATCAACATCTCGTGATATATACGTTTTTAAAGTACTTGGATAATAACTTGAACCAAAATAATTGTTTAAACGTGCATCTGATGAAGAAAATGCAAGAGATGATACTGAATCAATAATTATATTATATTTTTCAAGAAACGATACATTAGCTTGTTCACTATACGTTAATTCTTTATAATAAAATCCACTTGTAAAATAAGCAGTAAATAATGGTGGTAGAAAAGTAAGAAAAAGACAAGTTATTTGAAATAAAATCGCAGTTGAACATGGACGAGCTAAATAACGAATACGATATTCTTGAGAATAAACTTTACATAGAACCATTTTATTCGATTGTGAATTATATTGATTATCAATAGGTGATTAATTCTTATTCAACATTATGAACTATCGTTTTGACATAAATCTAAGTTAATACCTCTATCTCGATGATGTGTTTTGATTATAATGATAGATGGAGTTAGTATTACTGTTAATTTAATTCGTATAAAGTTAAAATATATAATACGATGGAACTGCTAGTATTTTAAAGAACAATATTAATTAATCCTACCTACTGTGTGAATGCATATCAATGATGAAAGATATTAATCGCCATATATTGTAGGGAGTGTGAAAGAAAATTAAAAGATAATTATTATACTAATCCCGTATCGAACATTTATCTCATGGTTATGTCTATCAAATCTGTGTGAGGAGAGGAGTGGATTCGAATTTTCACTCTTTTACTTCAAAACTCCTTTTAGATCATATGATATAAAATATATTAAAAATCAATAAAAATCAGTGAATGTTATTAATTTTTATATCGCATTGCAATGTAATTATCAATAAGGTAACAAAATCAATAATTATCAGTTATAAATAGTCCATATGTCCAAAACGTTGTCAATCAACATATTACACAGAACAGTATTAGATTCTTGCATAACGAAAAACTTTCATCTACCCTATGTAGATCCTTGTGTATATGTTATCAGTTAGATTATCATACACAACGACTTCCGCTATGTAACATACAGACATACTTATGTACGTTTATCAATCTCGCAGCAAAAGTCATGACTATACTATGTTAATTATATTTTCTGTTCAACAAATCAAAGACAATATCCATTAAGTCTATTGTAGATGCTAATAAAGAATAGTTCGTTTTGTCTAATACAATCATCCAGTTCGACAAACAAACACATGAAAATATATATAAACACGATTAAATCAAGCAGATCATATCCATTTTTTAAGTAAACTAATTAAATGAATAACAAGTCAAGAATGGCAGAATCGAAGAAATATTTCAAAGCATATTCATTCATTTAATTGTCATTTGATCCATTGCATATATATTTATTATCATTTATACAGTACAGTACAGCCAACGCACTAAAATACCACTATATTGATAATCATCGTGACAGGCTAAAGAGAAAGCTTGAGTTATTTTTGGATATAGGAAAGAATAAACAAAAACACAACAACCGACCGACGAATATTCCCATCAATACAGTTGTATGCATTACTATATAGAAGAAGAAGAAGAAGAAAATACCAGAAAGAGAAGTGCATAAGACTGAAAAAGTGGCCCTCACATATCAGAAAAGAGGAAAAAGAAACCTAGATAAACACATAGTATCCATCCTTTTTTTGCTATTTCATTCTATTGCGTATTATTTTATTAGTGTTTTTTTTTCTTCTAGAGTTTTTAACATCCATAACAAATATGTCGACTGGTCCAACAGTGAATCGTCCATTGACGAAAACCTTTTGTGCAAAATGTCAACAAGCATTTACACCGAAAGATGCTATGCAAACGTATCAAGACAAATTTTATCATCCACATTGTTTTTGTTGTTCAAGTTGTGGAAATACATTAGCCGGAAAACCATTTTATCCTAAACCAAATAATCAATTTCAATGCGAAACTTGTAATTTTGTACTTGCACCAATGTATGTAAAATAGCAAAAAAAGAATTTGTAATTTAGCTGAGACAAGAAATTTTTATTCTTTAGTTGTTGTATGTGTAAGCAAAAGATTCAGTCAGGTACTACAGCAAAACGATATCAGGATCGTCATTATCATAGTGATTGTTTTCGGTAAAAAAGTTTCTTGTTTTTCTAACAAATGGTTTTTTTTAAGAAATAATTTGTTTCTTTAGTTGTTGCAAATGTACTGCCGTTATACCCGATGGTAAATATCTATACGTCTGATTATTTTTGTTTTGTCTTCTATGAAATAAATTTAGGTCACAATTTTGTTGATATGTTGGATGGACGTTTTCAATGTTTAACATGTTCACATCATATAACTGGAACATATCAAGGCAAAGAACATGCTCCATATCTCGAGAATATGCTTGGTGAAATAACTACTGTTGCAAGTGATCAAGCAGGTCGTATACCAATATGTGACAAATGCACACGACCAGTAACAAGTGATGAAGAAGCATTTAAACATGATACACGTTATTATCATCTTGAATGTGCTCGTTGTAATCGTTGTCGTAAGAAACTTTTTAAAATTCCATGCAGAAAACTTGGTTCTGCTCTAGGTAAATATAGCAGATATTTGATATAAAACGCCAAAAGAATTATATTTTTATTATCGTTTTAGTTTGTCATACATGCTCATAACTTATTATATGTCTTTTCGTTAGAAAAACAACATTATGCTTCATTATGATAATTTACCCGATTTTTTTAAAGCACAACAACCCTTTATCATTTTTATTTTACCGCACCAATATAATATTAAAATTTTTCTTTTTCTTTTTCTTTTTATTGAAAAATAAAATCAAGAGAGAAGAATAATTTAATTAACTTTAATTGTATCTGATTGATGTGATGATCTTGAAACAGTAGCACGTAGTGGTGACATTATTCGTTTCTTATTGATGTTATCATTAGCACGACGAATACGTTGTTGAACTTTATGTTTAACCATATCTTTACATATTTCAACTTTTTTTATCCATGGTTCTTTTTTAAAAAAAGATGCTTCTTGTAAACAATCAATAGCTGTTGATCGTGTTGATGCGCTTGCATAACGTTCATAAGAATTAATTGTTGATTGACGAATGTCAAGATCGATATGAGATTTTATTGGACCAATTGACATACTATTCGGATGATCTGGTAAAGGTATATAGAAATCAAGATCGAGCATTGAAGCACGATCGACAGGTAGTGAATTACTCAGTGGATTCGTTGAAGTTATTATTGATTCTTTAGATTGTTGTTGTGTTGATTGTTCATTATGTGTCTTAGTTGGTTTATTTTGTTCAATTTCTAAATCAAGACGACTTGATGATGCTAAATAAGCATCAACTGATGACATTTTTGGTTGAAAAACTTGTTTATTAGCATTAACAACTGCATCTAATTTATTTGTTGAGATCGAGTGTGTTGATGAAGAATGGATCATCGGTAATGTATGCTTGTTCTCTTCACTAATAACTGATATATATGAGGTTCGTTGATGAATTTTTGATGTTTTTTTAGTTTTTTCTTTTGATTCATGAGAAGCTAAATAAAATAATCGATTAAATATATTATAATTAATAAATTCTTATGTCATTTACTTTCCAAACGATTAGGATTAACTACTGTTGATTGTAATAAACTAGTAACGGATGAATTATCTATTTCTGTAATTGATTTCATTGGTTTTATATCAAATCCTGAAATAGTTGATAGTACTTGACTATTAGAAAATGCTGATGATGATAAAATGTATTCTGTTCCTATTGGATGTTTTTTTAAATCTGTTGATGCTTGAGATAATACTAATGGTGGTCGACGTGATTGTTGAAGATGTGCAACAGCTATTTGTTTAGCACGTCGTCGTTCATCTAATGCAAATTGTTTCATATGTGCTTTCGTTTGAATTATTTTTTCTCTTTCTTCATCACTAAAGCCAATATAACGAATAAATTGATCCGATTTTGATGCATTAGTAGAATGTGCACCTCGAAGTTGTTCTATTGGTATCTCAAATTTATTATTATAACCGTCAATTAATACTTTATAACCAAGTAAACCAGTTTCAGGATAAACACGTTTTGTTTGTGTTGTTGTATAAAAACGTCCACCATATTTTTTCCATGCTCGTTCACGTGCACGTTCATACCAACTAGTAAATAAAAACATTAATCTTTAATTTTAACATTGAATAGTCGATTATACAAAACTCTTAGCATAAAATATTCATTCGTTTTTTTGGACTACGAGTTCTAATATGAGGTTACAATTACTATACAGACAGAATTTTCGACTTTCCTTTTTCTTTTTTTTTTACCAAATTTGCTCTTCGCTCTAAATAGTGATCTATTAATGGCTGGAAAAATTGTGAATAATTTGTGCTGAGACTTTTACGTCATGGATTAGTAATTAAGAATTTGTTTTACCTTATAATCTTACAATAAAGTGGTAATGAAACAAATCTAAAAAATATTGACATTTGATTAACTGTATTAGCAGTAGTTTTCGCTGATAATAAATTTGAAACATATTCACCAGTAGCATTTAATGGTATTTTTAAATTATATTGTTTGTCTTTTAAATAGAAATAAATTTCATTATAACGTTGTTTTTCTTCTTTAGTTTTTGCTGATAATAAATAAGAATTTGCTAATTGAAAAGGTACATGATTTGTTATAGGATCTCGTACTTGTGTACATAAAACTGATTGACGAACAAAAAGATCAACCATTTTAATATGTCCTCGTTCAATTGCTACATGAATAGGACATTTAAGCATTTCAGGTAATATTTGAGTACTAGTTTCAGATGACCATTGACGAGATGGATGTTCACCTACAGGACGATCACTTCGTGCACCTTGTTCCATAACAGATCTAGCCAAATCCGTATGATCTTGATGAATAAATTAAAATAAATTAATCAGAAAAATGATCTCATCTTTATACTTAAGTGATAGTCGAAAGTTATTTTTAATATTATCATTGTTATTTATTACGAATATCATAAAATTATGTTAAGTATTTTCTTAATATATCGGTTACCTTTTATTGCGAAGCCTTAATAAATCAGTGATTTTAAGGCTCTTAGAAAAAAAAATATATATATATAATTCAATTTTATTTCAATTTTAAGAGAAATAAATAATGTATTAGACTGACATGCTTGAATTTGGATTGAACTCTTTATTCAGGTACATCGCATACAGCAAAGAAAGTTTTACATGTTTTCGACTTAGTTTTAAAACAGCAACATTTACATCAAAATATTTGATGAGAACGAACTGCATTGTATATCATGAAAAAGATTGCATTTCATTACACTCCTCAATATAGTCTATCGTATTATTATATTTATAAAAAATTAGCCAAAACAATGCGAAATTATTCCGGACAAAACAACATTTAAAAGCTGGGTATATGTAAGCTTTGCAGTATTATTTGTTTAATTTTTCTGACTAAGTGAAACATTTATTTTGATAAATTCCGTTATTCAACCAGAGATCTAATATACTACTAAACTTTCATCTCATTTTTCTCTACTATAAAAGAAAATAACAATTAAAAATGAAAAACTTACTATAAAAAGCAGCAATATGTAATGCTACTTGTGTTTGATAATGTCGAATAAGATCATCATGAGAATAATGTTCTGTAAAACCTTTGACACAAGCATTTATAAATTTTTCATATCCTTGCCATACTTTTAAATACATATGATCATGAATTTTAATATCATAATTAAATAATTTCATTTCATCATATAAACTTTTTTTACCATCATATGTTTCAAGACAAAATGTACTTAATGGTAAACCTAATTTATCTGAAATTTTTTTTCTTATTGTACCAATTGATGTGTTATTTGTAATTGATGAATCAAATAATTTAAATATTTGTTTATTAAATCCACAATGAATATAAAGATCAGCTGCTGTTTGTTGTTTTGATATACAACGAATAATTGATCCTGATGAAATATTTAAATCACCAAAAGTCCATTTTGATTTAAGATCATTACCATTATAACTAAGAACAATTGTTGTTTCAGATGAACCATGATCAGGATACTTAAGACCATATTCTTTTTTAATTAATTCAAGAATATCTTCAACACGATCATTTTCATTAACATCAATTAATCTTAGTGTTTTACTTGGTGGATAAAATATAAAATAACGCATTTTTTTCTCTGATATTGATGTATTCTATGAATATAAAAAAATATTCACATGAGTCTTTTCATAAAAACAAAAAGAAAAAACAAAATACATGACATCAATTTTTTTTTCTGCATATTTTAACACTGTATTAATAAAAATAATGCAGTAAAAGAAATGTCATCTTACAATTGCAATTGAAAACTTTGAAAAATAATCCTTAATGCCAATTTAAAAATTTTCTGTTTGTTGTCTGTTGACCCACAATGTTCCAGTATTGCTTTCTTAGTTATTATTCTCACTATGTATGTCTGTCAATCAAAGTACTCGAAAAGAGAGAAAAAAAATGAGCAAAGATGTCAACAGTCGTTTTGTTATCGACATATGAAAGGTGCATAATTGTTTTCAGTTGCTAAAATGCCCTGTCAAGAGAAGCTTTTTAGTGTTAAGACAAAATTGAGATGACGAATACAGAACGTGCAAACATAAAAAGAGAACTTTTTAATCAGTTTAAATCGTAAGTGGCTTTGCTTTATTCTTTTTCTTTTCTTTTGATGATTGTACGCATGACATGCAAACAAATAATTTGAAAAAGAAATTGCTAAGCAATACTAGGTAATCACGATGATGATTATTATCAATGAAATATGAACATAGGAAAATGAACAATATACAATAAAACTTCTATTAGTAAATACCTTTAATTGTAAATCAGATCCTGGTTCCATAAAGCGATTTTTGCTAGAAATGCATTTCCCATAGGCGAACATCTCTTTACTCTGAACTTTAACATTGTTTTTTACGCCTCCGATTGCTATTCTAACACCTTTTCAATGAGTACACGTGCACTATGTTTTTCTTCCTCTTCTCTTCATTATTTCTGTCTAATATGCTGAAACTACTGTTCATTGTTTGTTATGAATAACGTCACAAACACATCTTACATTAAATCGAAAAATAGTTCATCTCAAGGTGAACTAACTGAAAATTCGACTATTCTACTTGATTCTATGTGTAATATTTTGAAATGAAAAAAAAAAAGAATATTTTAATGATTATCAAACAAACAAATTGTATGAAATTTACAGTTCTATATCATAATGTTTTCGGGAGATATGTAACAAACAAAGATGAAAAATAGTTCTTTTGGCAACCGAAAATTCTCTGTGAACTTTTCTTTTATAGTTTTAATTTTATTTTTATTTGAAAGAATATGCCAGAGTGCAATGCCTGGCAGAGCCTTTTATTTAGAGTCCTACTTTTCATCCGGAGAAAAAAGTACATCAAGTTTAACAATCAAAAAAACTCAGGAAAGGCGTTATCTATATACAGAAATGCTTTCTTAAATAATAATAAAAAAAATCTTATTTCAAAAAATAAAAAACAAGTTCTGTAGCTCATATGTTCTTTCAAATAAAAAAAACAACATCACTGACTACAATCAAGCTCTTCGGAATGCATGATCAGAAAAGTATAAAGAGAGAATAGATGAACTTAAACGAAAATTCAAAATTTTTTAAATAAAAAAACTTGTTGAATTCATATTTGAATGCATTGTCGAACAACATTCATCAAATTCACATATATTAAGACCAAAATAATAAATGTAGTGCTTTGTGAAACAAAGAAAAATCTTGTATTCTGTTGAAGAATTTTCAGATTCATAAATATTCCAATAGAAGCAGATGAAAAAATACAGAGAATGGTCGCTAATAACTTTGAAATTAGTAAAGAAATGCTAAAAATTTTCTATCCTTCGTAGGAACATGTATGATATCTTTCATAGATGAGTACTTCTCAAATTAAACGTTTTTCGAAAGTTCTAATGGTATTCACTTAAGACGAGAGTCGGACGAGTTGAAAATTTTCAGATTTAGTTCACAGAAACTTTTTAAATCCGAGTTTGATTCAATTGAGGACTAGCTTATATGTAAAATATGTTTGTAGAATATGTCAAGTCAATTTTCTTCGACTTATGAGTCATTCAAGAGAATCAAAAATAATCAGTTAGAATCAAAATTTTCATGCTCTTTCTAACTATGTATTCAAAATTTTTCTGACTCAAATTTAGTTTATTGAAAATATCTGTTTTCTTTGTACGTATTGCTGAAAACGACCGAAATCGATTAGATTTTAAATACCGAAAATCGAAGATAAATGACTTTCTTTCAAGTTCTAGCTTGTTACAATGTATAATTTAGTAGAAAATTAAATTCTGTACAACCTTAGAAAGAAAAAGCTATCCTAAAATCTCAATTAGAAACATTATGAATAAGAGAAAAAAAAGGCTATTTTACTTAGTGTAAATAACATCTTTGATTTATTTAGATATTTGTTCTCAATGAACTAGTTTTAAGTCACAAAAAACAAAAAATATTTCTTAATACATAATTATAAAGAGAATGAAGCTAATTATTTTCTTATTCTCATCATTGACTTATAAATGAAATAAAACTTATCAGATGTGTTGTGAAAAGATTTTATACATGTAGCTTATATTCAAAAGTAATAATTTTAATTTTTAAAAACAGTGATATTTTTACTAGAGCAACGTGTTTAACAATCTAATCATATATCTCCTATGAAAATTGACTACTATTCTAGTATAAATAATTCAAATGGAAAACATTATCAGACATGATATAGAATTAATTATAATTCACAATGAGTATTTATGTTACAAATTATCAATATTTAATATATTTGATCTGTCTATTGAAGAGTAAGAATGAAGTTCATGATTTATATTTATTTATTATTAAAGTTCTTAAATGAATGAAATTATTAATACATTCGAGATAGAATTCATATTTAATATTCTTGTGCATAATCACTATAGTATTCAATATTGACGAGATCAACACATTCATACTACAAATATTAAAGTAGGGAACAATTTTGATAAGTCAAAAAAGGAAAAAATACTTGGCATAAGTGTCTTATAATTATTTTTTAATAGCAATATACTTCCTTTCTCACCTTATCGGGAACATTGTTGATTCGTTTCCACATCTTGATCTTTAATGAATAAAAAAAAAGAAAGAACGTCAATTTTATATAATAAAATAAATCATGTTCTTATATATTAAGCAATATTTAACATAGGTATCTGATTTTTATTTTTTTTTTACTATTTGATCTAATAACATTTATTTATTTGACGTAAAAAAAAACACAGAAAGAGAGAAAATTTTCTTCTTCTCGTTTAAACAGTCTCCAATCTGTTGGCAGAAATAGTTCAACAAAAATAAATATTTCTTTTTTTATCGATCGTCCTACATAAATTTGCAGTTTGTTTGCGTTCGAGAATCCACAAAAAAACTATCGTTGCTATTTTGATAAAAGCAATCATTGCTATACCTAAACATTTATTTTTTACACATACATACAGATACTATTGATGGCGAGAATGTAAAAGATTAATGTTTATGTTAACGTTTCAACGAGCAACATAAGAATACAAAAAATTTTGTTTATTGAAAAAAAACGATTTCACATAAATAATAAAGATGATTGAATATAAAATTAATTACATTAATTGATCAATATTATTAATGTGATTAAATAAATGCTATAGACATAAAATATTAACAGATCGATAAGAAAAATACATTTTGTATTAACGTTACAAAACATTTCATTTTTTTTTTTTTACATATTTAAATATGCATAACAAATTTTGTTTGATTATTTTGAGTTGAAATTCATATAAAAAACATCGTTGAATAATTACTTTTTCTTCTTCTTTACAAATTCATATAGCTATCGTCTATAATATTAGTAAATAAATCGAAACCTTACAGTAAAAGTAAATCTTCTATAATAGTCATTTTATTCATCTTCTCATCCCAAGGATCAATTGAAATTTGAACAAAATATTTTCTTATCTATTAACGAGTGAATTTATGTTTTTTTTTTTTTTTTTTTGTAAAAGTATTTTTATAACTATTTTTGTAACCTTCAAAAAATGAAGAAAAACTAAAAACATTTTGATATTCTTCAACAATAGGATGGAAATATTTTTGATCATCAGATTTTTTCACATTCTTTGATACCTTCACTGTTACTCTGTAGATTTAGACTCGATGAGATCTGGTCATTGACCTAGATACGAATCAAAGTATAGTGTGCAAAGCATCCATACATATGCATTACAGTATTAATCTAGGAAGTAATAAAATTATATGAATATGTAGTTTTCCTACAGATACATGCACACCATTCACGTATTTCATTGATCATACATTAATCTGTTTGATCTCTGGAAAATAAGTACTGAATGTAAATAAGGACTCGAGTGCATTGTGTAAGAACACTCGACAAGAAATGATGAAAAATCACAGCTTGAATAAAAATTAGTGAACAAAAGTACTTTTCTCTTATTAATACTATTTATTAAGTTATACATGAAGATAAAAACTTAATTTTGTTCTATGCCCAACATCAAGTCACTCTTTTTTTTATAACGTCTTTTAATTCTATTCACAATTACAACACTATTCTTAATATGTGACTCATTGGTATTGAATATTAACGAGACAAACAAAAGTGTGGATATCTGTAATCAATTATCGTATTGTTTTATTATCCAATGAATGAAATGAATTAAGATACTAGTTAATTGTTTCAATCTGTATAAAAGTGTTATTTGTGTAGTAGTCATTCAGATTATGGTGATTGTTAAGCATTGGTTTTTTCTTGTTCTTACTTATAATTATATAAAACTTCTCTATAGTGAAAATTTTCCAATTTTTATTCATGCTGATCAAATATTTCTTAGATGTCCAAATGGTAAAATCGAATCATTGAATAATACTACTAGTATTTATTCAACTTGTATGCAAACAGAACAATATGAACACTTCAGTTTATTTCAATTCTTTATTCAATGTCCTGATGGGCGTTTATATCTTGAATATAATCGTACGTTAACTTTTTATAATCAAGTTTCTGAATATTCAATAGCTAATCTTCAACCAAAATGTTTTATCAATCATCATAATTCATATTTTCAGCATTATCAA